AGCTGCAGTGTCAGGAGCGGAGAAAAACCTCAAATCTGGTGCAGACATTCCCCAGTGCCACCTAAGAACTTATCAGTGCAGCTCTCTGCATCCAGAAACACAGCTTCCTAGCAGCCACCGTAAAGAGGGTTAACTCTTTCCTGACTGAATCCAGTACATGTAGGTTATTGAAACTACTGTAGAGAGGCTATCAGTTTGATTAGGGCCAAATCAGTAGTTTTAGCTGTGTTGATAGTGAAAGAACTTTTTGCCTGCCTTACAGTCAGGTATGACGCATATTGGCTGTTTTTTTGGTGTTCTGAAGACCAGAGTATCAGACCGTAGTCTGATGAGGGTTATGTTTTCATTTGGTTTACTGATAACTTGAAATCATTGTTATTTGCAAAAATTCCTTTAGTCACATGTTTTTGTACTCAGCAGTGTACCCTTTAGTTGTCTAAATCCATTGCTAGGTTTGAGCATGGCAGCAGTTGCAAGCGATATCATTTGGTGTCCATCGGGAGTACACAGGGAAAGCTTGGTACATAGGAGCATATGATAACATACCATCTCTGGAAATATACTTTCCAAATTGGAAGTTGGATTTCTAGCTAAACACAACTTACCATTTCAAGTTAATTTCAAGTTAACTGACATTTATTATTACATCTCCATAGGAGAATTTTGATTTGGTATAAGTATTCCACACTATTTTTCCTAGTTGCTGTGTGAGACCCAAGTTTTCATCTCTTCAAGGTTTTTAGGGTAAACTTGATTGTTTTAAATATTGATATGTTACAATACTAGGTTCGAATAGTCGTTTTAATTTGAAAATTCAAAACACTCTGTGTCTTTCAGTATACAGGGAGAAAGTTCAAACTTCAGTTTTGCTGTGCCAAGCGTGAGTGGAGTTTGCCTCAGAGAATTTTGGGCTCTGCAGAAAGGCATGCAAAGCAGATCCTTGTTGTTCAGGTTATCAGCCAAATGCACAAGATAGACCTCTCAATCAAAAGGGGGTTTGTGCTAATCACAGTTCCTAATGTGACTACAGAATTGTTGCTTTCTGAATTTTTTGATGTGTTTGAACATTGAGAAACCAGTTCCTTGTTGGTTTGAACTGGTGTGAATGGGGATGACTTGAATTTAGCTACTAGGTTGCATCAGTGGAATGAGTAGCTCCGAAGACATGTTCATATTTGTGCTTCTTTAAGCAGTAAAACAGTATCAGAGGGCCATAATTTCTAAAATGATAAATTGTTTTCCTTGTGTTCTCAAACACTTGGGCTATTAATGAAAAAATATTGTGTTTGCTTGGCTCCTACTCAGCTATTCTGGATGTACAGCATGCTGATGTAAATCAGCAGTTTCTGCTTCTATAAATAGACTTTGTCAGCAGCTGCAGAGCAGAACTGGCAGGCTTCTGGTCATTTTTATTATTGCCATTCAGAAATTATTTGAATAGTTGTGAAAATGTCTGGTGGTATGTATGCCTGCTGTAGGGGTGTTGGCAGGCTGAGCTGAGGTTATGAGTGGGGAGAGGGGAAGAAAGAGTGCATTTATAAGCCAGCAGTGTGAGGCACAGAGCTCTGTATTCCTGCATTTGGGAGTCCTTCAGCTGCGTTTGGAACTCTATAGAAAAGACGTGCTATCCAGCTGGCTGAAGGTCATGAGCCTTAAATGGGGTCTGGGGGTAGCATTTATCTAACGACTTCATAGCTGGGTATGAGGCAGCCTTTACAAGTGTGCGCTGTTGGGGATCGTCATCTTACAGTACCCTGAGAAGCTGTCTCCTAAAACTGTCAGTTCCTTCTGCTGCGGGGCTGGTTTTCTCTGCTGCAC